AAAAAAAAAAAAAAAAAAGAATAAAACATCATGGCTGAAAAGCATTGCTTATGACATTCTCAAACTTTATATTGATGGGATCATGCTGGGGGTATAACTTACCTTTCTCACTAAACATTACAAATTTGAGATTTACCCATGCTGGCAGAAAAGGCTTAATCTATTTATGTTAACTGAGCTCAAGTATTTCATTGTATGATCTGATCATAATTTATACATTCTGTTGATAGATATTAAAAATGTTTTGTACATTTTCACTCCTAAATGACGTTACAATGAATATTCCTGACATGTTCATTTTCTTTTTTTTTTTTTGAGTTGGAGTCTCACTCTGTCGCCCAGACTGGAGTGCAGCGGCCGCTTCCGGCCACCGCAGCCTCGACCTGCTGGGCTCCGGCGATCCTTCCGCCTCAGCCTTCCGAGTAGCCGGAATTACAGGTATGCGCTACCACGCCCGGCTGATTTTTTTGATTTATTGTAGAGATGAAGTCTCGCTGCCCAGACGGGTCACGAACCCGCGGGCTCAGGCAATCCACTCACCTCAGCCTCCCAAAGGCGCAGGATTACAGGCTGAGCCACTGAGCCCGGCCAATGGCTGCATTTAAATGGTCATTTAGGCTGCTTCACTATTCTGTTATCACAAATAAATGCAACGAATAACCTTGTACAAATGTTTTATCTTGCCTATGTTAATATGTCTGTAAGATACATTCCTGTAAGCAAAACTGCTCATCACAAGCATATTTATATGCCTATCTATAGTAGTTCACAAAACACACCCCTTTCCTTGGCAACAGTGTTCTCAAACTTTTTGATCTTTGCCAATTTGATAGAAGAAAACGAATTTTTTCTTTTATTATTTGAGTACTAATGTCTTGAGATGTTGCTCAGGCTGATGTGAACTCCTGGCCTCAAATGATCCTCCATCCTGAGTGGTTGGGATTACAGGTACACACCACAGTGCCCAGCTATGCAATTTTAATTTTTCTTAGGCGTTTGTACATCATTTCATTAAAATATATAATTATAAGACATTTGTATTTCCTTTCTAATTAACTGTCCATATTCTTTGTTCTTTTTCCTACGGAACTATTAGCTCTTTTCTTATTCGTAACTCTTAATACACTGAAGTAAAGTCTTTTGTCTGTAATATGAATCAGATATTTTCTCTCTGGAATGCAGTGGCAAACTCATGGCCATCACAGCCTCAACCTGCTGAGCCCAGGTGATTCTTCCACCTCAGTCTTCTAAATAGATGAAATCACAGGCCTGGCTAATTTTTTGATTTATTGTAGAGACAAAGTCTTGCCAAGTTGCCCAGGCTGGTCTCAACCCTCTGGGCTCAGGCAACCCTCTTGTTCTCTGCTTCCCAAAGTGCTGGGATTATGGGCATGAGCCACCACACGTGGCTTAATTTCTTTTTTTTTTTGAGTCAAGGCCTCCCTCTGTTGCCCAGACTGGAGTGCAGTGGCACAATCATGGCTCATTGCAGCCTCAAACTCCTGGGCTCAAGTGATCCTTCTGTCTCAGCCTCCTGAGTAGCTGGAACTTTAGGTATATTCTATCACACCCAGCTAATTTTTTAATTTTATTTTTTGTACAGATGAGGTCTTGCTATATTGCCCAGGCTGGTCTTGAACTCCTGGGCTCAAGCAATCATCTTGCCTTGGCCTCCCAAAGTGCTGGGATTACAGGCGCAAGCCACTGTGCCTGGACAATGGCTTATCTTTTAAAGTATTTTTTAACTGGGCTCAGTGGCTCAGTCTGTAATCCCGCGGCTTTGGGAGGCTGAGGTGAGTGGATTGCCTGAGCCCACGGGTTCGAGACCCACCTGGACAGCGAGACCTCATCTCTACAATAAATCAAAAAATCAGCCGGGCGTGGTAGCGCATGCCTGTAATTCTGGCTACTCGGAACGCTGAGGCAGAAGGATCGCCGGAGCCCAGCAGG